TGTTACAGGAAGTACAATTTCCTTTTTTCTTAAGCTTGATTTTTCTTTGAAATTATGCTGCCCCTAATTATGCTATATAATTGTATCTTTTTATTATTTCTGCTATTTCCTATGAATTTTAATCTTTGAATTAATTTTTCTGTATTTTTCCTCTTGCCAAGTTTTATGTTTTAAGTCTATGGGTCTTGCAGTGCCTTAATGATGGAACGCCTGAAGTAAGGGATGCAGCATTTTCAGCTTTGGCCGCCATAGCCAAGGTACCCTTCTGGGTTTTCCTTTCCACTGTCAATCCGTCAGTTCTAATGCAGCGCTGATGTTATTATTCGTGCAATTGTATTTTCCCTTCTTTCAGTTGGTTGGAATGAGACCTTTGGAGAGGTCGCTGGAGAAACTTGACGATGTTAGGAAAAAGAAGTTATCAGAAATGATTGAGAGTTCTGGAGGGGGTCAATCCACTGTTACAAGTACAGGTAATTTGAAATGTTTCTGATCTAACGTACTTTGGATATTTCTGTTTTGTTATACTTTATACTTGAGGGTTCTGTTTGACATATCTATTCTTGTGAAAGCTACAGTTCAATCTTCAGGAGGAGTTGTGTCTTCCAAAGAGGTAAATTTGCACATAAATACATCTCACAGCATTTTTTGTTTTAGTAATATAGATTTTAATAGAAAGAGGCAGCTAAAACCAACAGTTGCTTGTGGTGGATTGTTTCCCTCAATTCATTTCCCAGCAATTAAATTAACAAATTGCTTTCTTAGATTGTATAGAAATTATACTTTTCTGTTTTAGACTGTAAGTAGTTAAATAAGTCTTGTTGGAACAAAAAGCTCGTGAGTGTTGCTTGCATTCATTTTTCAGTTCCCCTGGATCAAGAGCTGGATCAAGAGTGTGTTTAGGAAGTGATATAGTTTAATCCATGCATCTCGTAGGACCGGCAACTTATAATCACTTAACAAACATGCACAAAATGGAGGTTGAGAAGGCATCTGTATTTCACTTTCATTATGTCTCTGGATGAATGCTTATGTTGGGGATATACGAGTATTATATACTTTTCCATTTAATGTGTTAGTTTAATTTGGCAGACTTCACTGCTAGAGTTGAAAAAGTAAGACTTGAGTTACTTTTCATTTATCTTCAAAATGTCAGGAATTGTTTTCCACTCTCATCATTTCATGTACTTTTAGTGTGAGCATTTCTGGGAATAAAACAACTCTTGTGGAAAGGTTTCTTATTTGTGGACATCCCAAAATGGAAATTATGTCATCCAATTGGAGTGGATAGTATCATCTTTGTGGACATCCCAAAATGGAAATTATGTCTTCCAATTGGAGTGGATAGTATCATCCCCATGAGTGATTTATTTAGTTTTCATTTTGTATAAATATATCATATAATAAATTTTGTGTTTATTTGGTTCCAAGTAGTAAGTTGTGATTGAAGCATCACGTCGAACATTCTTTCCTGGATATTTCTTGTTGCAGACTTCAGATGGATTACTTGTTAGGAGGTCAGCAGCTAGCATGCTTAGTGGAAAGAAGACTGTTCAAACAATTGTAAGTTCTCTCTTCGCAATCCCCCCTGGCTCTGGATGTTTCTTATCAAACCTTGTGCATAATAAAGGAGAAAAAGGCGAAACTTACTCACTCATGTAGACATTAGTCTTCTGTTATGTGATCTTTGCCTGTTGATACTCACGTGCTCTCTCCTTTTTCATTTTCTCCTCTTGCTTTTTGCAGCCTGCTAATAAGAAAGCAGCATCTGTGAAATCTGGCATCAATAAGAAAGGTGATGGAGGCGGACAGTCAAAAAGTTCCAAGGTTGTGGAGCCTGAAGATATTGAGGTATATAGTTGATGCACCTCCGTTCGCTCTTTGTTATGCTGTTAATTGGCGGGTTTATAGTAGGTTTTTAATCCACTTCGTTTTACAGCCAGCAGAAATGAGTCTTGAAGAGATTGAAAATAAATTAGGCTCCCTTATTCAAGCAGATACAGTTGCGCAATTGAAGAGTGCTGTGTGGAAAGAGCGGCTTGAAGGTTTATATTTTAATTTGTTCTCTTTATTGTTGAGTTTATTAAAGTTGATTCTAATCTAATATTTTTTGCAATAAAAACATAAAAATCGTCTTGTTTCATTATGTATGGAGGTTTGAAATGAAACTTGTTTTTAGTAAGCTTTGAAGTTTGAATGGAATGTTCTTATTTGGACTTACAGCCTCGAGCCTTTTTATGATAGAGATCCTCTTCACTGAGAGCACCTCCTGTCGGTGTCTTTCATCTAATTCACTCATTGAATCTATTTTTGGGATGTTTCTATTTGTTTGTAGAAGATCATGGCAGTCTTAAGATCTTTCATACTTTAATATTATATTTAGGGTGACGGTATCTGTAACCACTAATGTGATATAGTCACTCTCCTGGAAGTAATCACTTCATGATAAATTTATTTGCGATTGTACGATTTTGGGCTGCTCTGCTTGGTTTTGTATGACGTCTTTTTCCGGCTCTTTTAATTTGTTTTGAAGACAGAAATTTGTCTAAAGCTTCTGTTTCTTATAATCAAGTCTGAAGTCCGGCTAATGTGTGTTAGTTTTCAGCCGTTCACATGTTATGACAATCATCAACTCATTAGAGTTGATTCCTATGGTGCCTATATCATTGCTTTTTACCCATCATTCCTTAACCTATTTCTTAGGTTTCCTTTGCATTCATACTCCTTATCGATCACGGTAAATGTATCAAGACAGCATTGGGCAAAGAGCTGATCTTAGTTATTTTTGAAGAGTTCAAAGTCTAATGAACAACTATGAATATTTCACGAATGTTTTCACGCTTCTTGTTGCAGCTATCACGTCATTTAAAGAGCAGGTGGCAGTGCTGCAAGACCTTAATCCATCTGTGGAGATTTTGATACGTTTACTTTGTGTGGTTCCTGGCTGGAGTGAGAAAAATGTTCAGGCATGTAAAAATATTTCTTTCTGGATAGGGCTATATTATCACGTTTACTCAAACGAATCAACTCATGTCATACATTTAAGCAGGTCCAGCAACAGGTTATTGATGTTATTACTCACATAGCTTCAACAGCATCGAAGTTTCCAAAGAAATGTGTGGTGCTTTGCCTTTTAGGTCAGTTGTTCTTGTTTCCTTTAATACTACACTACCATATGTTGTGTTGGTCCTGCGATCTTCTTTCATTTTCTGGCTTTCTTTACTTTATGTTTTAACGTTGTTATTTGATCCTGCTTGTATCCAACAGCTGGTAACTACCATTTGCATGTGGTATTTTCTGCTGTAATATAGAGTTCAAGTTGACTTCTTTCGGGCTTTCTGTGATTCTGTATGTCTGAAGTTGATATGCCTTATTGACAGGTATAAGTGAGAGAGTTGCCGATATCAAGACTCGTGCTCAGGCCATGAAGTGCCTTACTTCTTTTTGTGAAGCTGTGGGCCCAGGTTTAATTTTTGAGAGAGTACGTGTTCTTGTATTTCTAATATTTTTAGTACAAGCACTCGGCAATTGGCATGGATTTTAAGATGGATCCAGTTATGCATTTCCACAGAGTCTGGAGTGCTGTACTGGTGATCGTTACGCTAAACAGGAAGATTAAGAAATAAGCAGTCTTCCAGTTCCAAACAAATCAAGGAACAGATTAACTCTTGATCACATCCCAAGGTTAAACATGAATCCTGTGGTAGTAGTTAACCACTCAGATGGAAGCCAAGTTAAATTACAGTTCTCGTTGTTTTCCTGCCCATTTAAGTACCTCAATAGCATAGTTATTAACTTGTCCAGAGACTTACAGCTGTAGGTTTCAGTAATTCTATTTTCAGAGAAAGTAACTAATCTGAAACTAGGATATAGATGTGATTGATGTTACTTCATGACTTCTAAAGCTCTAATCTATGTCAGCCCTGCATCATAGTAGTTGATTCTCTTAGGTAGGGGATAGGGGGTGGTAACTATGGAGAAACTGTTATAGGTTTAGAATAAAAATGTTGTCTTCATTCCTAAGTCGTCACATTTGGTTCTTGAAATCATAATGGTAGGCAATAGAACACTCAAAAGCACGTTCTTGAGTTGCATGAGGGAGTTTGGGTTGCAGAGGCATTTCTGTGGCAAGGACAAATTTAAAGTCGGATACATCTGTCAGCCTGGTTTCATTTGGTTGGCTGCACGTAGCACGATTTCTGTTTCCTTTTCTTTTGTGTTTGTAGCTCTAATTATTGAATGACAAGAGTGGCAGTATTGAAATGATAATTAAGTTTGTTTTCATTATAGGAAGTGACATTTAACATGAATGGTCACAATGGGTATTTATAGATATATTTGCCATTGTGCCTTCAATAGTGGCTAGGCATGTTATTACTTTGTTCATTTTGTCATAGTCTTCCTTACTTCTTGACACTGTTAACTGATCTCTCTCACTCTTCCAGCTGTATAGAATCATGAAAGAGCACAAGAATCCTAAGGTTCTCAGTGAAGGCATTTTATGGATGGTTTCTGCAGTTGAAGATTTTGGTGTTTCGTATCTGAAACTGAAGGTGTACTTAAGCTCCTTTGTACAGCATTATTTTTTGTGGTGGTGGTTCCCTCTAAATATTTCCAATTATGGATTTACATGATTTTAGGTAAATTGTACATAATCTTAGGGATGAGGCATCATTGTGTGTTACAGGATTTAATTGACTTCTGCAAGGATATTGGTTTACAATCCAGCGCTGCTGCCACTAGAAATGTTACGATTAAACTTATTGGTGTTTTGCACAAATTTGTTGGCCCAGGTGATATATCCACTTTTACTATGTCTGCTTGTATGACTTAGATGTTTATATGGTCTAAACACTTCTCTGCAGATATTAAGGCATTCCTCTCAGATGTTAAGCCTGCTCTTTTAAGTGCCCTTGATGCAGAGTATGAAAAAAATCCATTTGAGGTATATTATTTAGTATTTAACATATCTGTCTCGATGAAATAATTACTTTGATGTTTATCGTTTGTGTATTACCACCTGCAGGGTATATCTGCAGTTCCAAAGAAGACCGTGAAAATATCGGATTCTGCATCATCTTTGGCTGCTGGTGGGTTGGATGGCCTTCCACGTGAAGATATTAGTGAAAAGGTCACACCTTCCTTGTTGAAGGGCCTGGAGTGTTCAGATTGGAAGGTGCATTTTTATAGATGAGATTATTTGAGTCTTAATTGTTCAAACTCATACCAGTCACTCTTGCCTTTGCTCTTTTCATTCTAGATTCGCTTGGAATCTATTGAAACTGTGAATAAAATTCTGGAAGAGGCCAACAAACGTATTCAACCGTCTGGAACTGGTATATTATGACACCTGAGACTAGTGGCCATTTTAATAATTTTCAGCTATATTTGTATGTTGATTTATATTTTGACTATTCCTCCCAGTGGAGTTGTTTGGGGCTTTAAGAAACCGCCTTCACGACAGCAACAAGAATCTAATTATCGCAACTTTATCAACTATTGGTGGTCTTGCATCTGCAATGGGTCCGGCAGTTGAGAAGTCAAGCAAGGTTCATTTTTGACAATGCAATTAAATTTATCTTGTCTTATCATCTCTCCATTAGATATGAGCCAGATTTTCTGTTCTATTTTTATGTGGTTTCTTGCAGGGTATTCTGTCAGATATCTTGAAATGTCTTGGTGACAATAAAAAGCATATGAGAGAGTGCACTTTAACTGCTTTAGACTCTTGGCTTGCCACTGTTCATCTTGATAAAATGGTCAACACCCTTGCATTCTCATGTCTATTATTTACTTTTTATTTTTGTATTGATGGTATAACAAGAATTTCTCTTCTTTAGATCCCTTATATTGCAGCTGCACTAACGGATGCTAAGCTAGGTGCGGAAGGGCGCCGGGATCTTTTTGATTGGTTATCAAGACAACTTGCTGGGTTGGCAGATTTTTCTGATGCTATATATCTTCTAAAACCTTGTGCCTTCGCTATGACGGTATTTCTCTCATCATCTGTAAATAGACAGCATGGATTTCTTCATTTTTCATTCTTTGCTTCTGTCTCAAGCACTTGTTACTGCTTCATACATTTAGGATAAATCAGCAGATGTTCGTAAAGCTGCAGAAACTTGCTTTAGTGAAATTCTGAGGGTTTGTGGGCAGGAAATGGTGCGTTGGTTGCAATTTTTTTTCAATCTCGTTCTAGTTGAAGTTCATTTATTTAATACTGTCTCGTGTATTTCTTTTGTAGGTGACCAAAAATTTGAAAGATATACAAGGAACTGCTTTAGCTATTGTTGTTGAACGACTTAAACAACGTGGACCCTTTCAAGGTATATAGTTTCTTTTCTCTCCTTTTCTCTGATCTACATCTACTTCATTTATTGCTAATGCTGCTTGTTGGCTCACAGAAAATGTTGAATTGGGAAGAACAGTTTCAATGGGTCTCTCTTCCAAAAGCAGCTCAAAGATTGGAAAACCTAATGGTCATGGTGATCGTGGATCACGGCATGGAAGCAGAGTTGCACCATCAGTAAGTTTTCTTTTGGTTGAATTGCTTGGTTTGAAAGTAGAACGTGAATATTGATTGAAATTATGTCTGTTTAGAGAACTATTCCCGCAAAGGGCTCAAGGCAAGAGATCGTCACGTCTGTTCAAGAAATTAACATACAGTCGCAAGCTTTGTTAAACATCAAGGATTCAAATAAGGTACATTTCGTTTTGTGTATGTCATATATAGCATGCACAACATAAAGTACTGTCTTATGCATGCTGCAGAAATGATCATCTGAGTTTATTTGCACAGGATGATAGAGAGAGAATAATTGTTCGCAGAGTCAAGTTTGAAGAGTTACGCTTGGAACAGATACAAGATCTTGAGGTTTGAATTAATTGGGTGCTTGTTGAATGATTTTTTTGTTGATCTTCCTGTCATTATTTGGTTTCTTTCATCATATTAAATTTATTCTGCGATATAATTAAAGAATTTTGATACATTATTTAGGATCTTAATTTTTTTTGGTCTTTGTAGTAGAGGAGCATAAGCATAAAACATATGTTTTCCTAGAAATATCACGTGATAGGCACTCTTGTCAATTTTGGGATCTGATGTAATTGGTTCATGAAAACATTACGAACGCAGATATAATTTTCTCTCTAGACGTATAAAATTGAAGTTATATTCTCATGAAATTTGTTTTAAATGTGTTATATGTATGTTCCACAGAATGACATTGCGAAGTATTTTAGAGAAGATTTGTATCGAAGGCTGTTAAACACCGACTTCAAGAAGCAAGTTGATGGGATTGAGATTCTGCAGAAGGTGCTTTTACTTACAAGTACATATTATTCCGAATATGGGTATTCATTAGGCTTCCTGACTTTGCTTTCTTGTTGGCTTTCAGGGTCTTCCATCTATTGGAAAGGAAATAATTGAAGTTTTAGACATTCTCTTGAAGTGGTTTGTTTTGAGATTCTGTGAATCTAACACATCATGCCTATTAAAGGTACAGAGCTATCATTTCTTAATCATTGGTATGTGAAAGATAATTAGACATACTCATTCAATGCAGATTGCATGCCACCAATTGTATACTCTAGTCTTCTGTGGTGTGATAATCAATATTATTTCAGTTATGTCGAAAACTGTTAATATATCTGATAGAATCATTATGTAGATCTTTTAGTGCTTGTGTGGAAGTGGGTTTTTGAAAAACAATTTCCTCCACTCATTTTCAACCACACATTCTCCAAAAAAAATATTTTTCATGTTTTCCATTAACTTTTCCCTGCTTTTAACATTTTCCAATAAAATCACTTTTCAAATAATCTCTCCAACACAATGGCTTGGCAAATCAACTATCTCCTGTTTGTAAACATTTTTTAGGTTTTCGTTTAGATTTTTGAAAGCTAAGAATATTTTTGCCAATAAGCCCCTGTTTGGGCTCCATTTTTGAAAAAAAAGCATTTTTCTCTTCCTTATATTCACCCACATATTCTCCAATAAAATAATACTACACGAAAACCCAGAACTCTTTTCTTATTTTTTAACCCACATCGTCCAATGAATCACTATTCCAAAATACATTTTTCTCCAAATCTATTTTTAATGGAGCCTAATCAAGGGTTAAATTTTTTACAAATCCAGTAAACTAAAATAAAGAATGATTGGTATGACATTCTTGTGGTATGAATGGAGTAATTAACTGAATTGTTTTTGCTGTTTCACTTTGAATTAACTCCATTCATGTTCTTCAAAAAACGATTATAAGGTGCTGGAATTTCTTCCTGAGCTTTTTGACATGTTGAGGAATGAGGGCTACACTATGACTGAAGCAGAGGCATCCATTTTTCTTCCTTGCGTGATTGAGAAGGTATAAAAGACATGAGCTGTTTCTATGGAAGTTCCCTTCGTACTTCTGTATTGGTCTATGCATGCACACGAGGCAAATTACACAGACTGCTCTCTTTTCGATTCTAAAGTTTTAGTTCATGTTATTTAATTTGTTATTGCCAGTTAGGATGTTGATTCCGGTGTCTTGTTACTTTTTTCATATTTATCTCCAAAAGTGATTGTCAACACTTGGTGACATCAAAATATCTGTTTGAACTATAAATATTTTTGGGCTGCAGTCGGGTCATAACATCGAAAAAGTACGAGAAAAAATGAGGGAATTGATGAAGCAAATAATTCACACATATTCTGCGGCAAAGACTTTTCCCTATATTTTAGAGGGTTTGCGTTCAAGAAATAATAGAACTCGGATTGAGTGTGCCGATCTTGTTGGATTCTTACTGGATAATCATGTACCTGAGGTATAATGTGAAATTTATATTAGATGTACTTTTCTTTTATGAACATTTTTATATTTTGATTTCTTCTATTGTTTAACGGTGCATTTATTTTTTTTGTTCTTTCTACTCAGATAAGTGGCCAATTAAAATCCTTGCAAATCGTCGCTAGCTTAACGGCAGAGCGAGATGGTGAAACTAGGAAAGCTGCTTTAAATACTCTGGCTATTGGATATAAGATTCTTGGTTAGTTTTATCTTGACTATTGCATATATACAAGTGATGCATTTTCAGTTAATTTTTTTGACGTGGTATGGATATTTGAATCTTCATTTGTATGGGATGCATGTGGAAAAATGAATCTCTGTATTAAATATTATATTGCGTGTCATCGGTAACTGGTCATCAAGTCTTGACCATTAATGTGGCACTACTCGTTCTAATGCTCGTTAATTTAAATTTTTATGGGTTAGGTGATGACATTTGGAGATACATTGGGAAGCTTACGGAGGCACAAAGAAGTATGTTAGATGATAGATTTAAGTGGAAGGTTAGTACATACATGTGCTTTCTATTTCCGCTAGTTCTTTCTTCTTTCTCCAAATCATGGATGCATGTCTTGTTTGTCAGGCTCGCGAGATGGAGAAAAGAAAGGAAGGCCGGCCTGGTGAAGCTAGGGCTGCTTTAAGGCGGTCAGTGAGAGAAAATGGGTATGTTAAAAGAATCAGGGGTTTTGCTATATGTTGATATTCATTGTTTTGTGGACTCTTGTAAAAGATGCGATGTTTTCTTTCATGTTGCCTGTACCATTATAAATTGACAAACTGGAGACAGTTCTATTGCAATCAAGATGACCCGTACAGAAGTGTTGCATGTGTTTTCTTGTTCTCTTTCATCATATATATCATTTGTGACCAGGCTAGTGATATGTGCAGTGTCATGCTGTTATCATTATATATATCATTTGTGACCAGGCTTGTTTGGATTTCAATTTAAGCACATTATAATTTAAAAGTAAAAGTAGGATCCACAACTACTACCCATTTGTTCCCCACTCATTTCTATCATTATAATTTCATTAACTTATAATGAAATATGATCTTTTTTCTTCTATTTTCCTCAGGTGCATTCTTTATATTTTATGGTTGAAGCATTAAATTACCTTTTATGGTCTATCATAATATAGATTCTATTATTTTGAAAAAAAAGAACTAGCAGAAGAGATGAACAGCGTGTCTCTCTTAATAGTTCTGTTGACTTGTAATGATTTTTCCTTTTGAACTCCCTGATATTGGTTTTATGAATGCAGGTTTGATACTGCAGAGCAAAGTGGGGAAGTTTCAAAATCTATATCTGGCCCAATCTTCAATAGGTATCGGAGAATCTATGCCTCAAGCTGTTTACTATGTGCACACGTTGCATGGAAAGTAAATTATTAATCTACTTGCTAATTTTTTTTACTTATAGGGATAATTATGGTCATTCTGAAGATCAGATGGAGAGACATCCTATGCCAAGACCATATTCTGGACCTGTTGGTCCAGCTGACTGGAATGAAGCTCTTGATATTATATCACATGGTTCTCCTGAGCAGGTTTGCTTTGAATTCCTCAATTTTTGGACTTTGAGTTTTGCAAAGAAATGCTTTATTGGGTGTTTATCATAAATGTTGTTGGCTGCAGTCCGTTGAAGGAATGAAGGTCGTGTGCCATGAATTGGCACAGGCGACCACAGATCCCGAAAGCAGTGGAATGAATGATATTGTGAAAGATGCTGATAGACTTGTTTCATGCCTGGCAAATAAGGCAAATTGCTACATTAATTCCTTATTCTAAAGGCCATTCATGTGGTGCTTACATGGTAATGCTTTTAAATGCTCATAACAAGGGTTTATTTCAGGTAGCCAAGACATTTGACTTTAGTCTGACTGGTGCCTCTTCAAGGTCTTGTAAATATGTTCTCAACACTCTCATGCAGGTACATCCATCCTCTTTCCATCGATTTCTTCCCAATAATTTTCATTATGGATATGTTGGATAGAGAAACTCGGACTGACACATGAATTGAAACATATTAAAGAATGATCACTAAAAATGTGAAATTCATTGTCTCCCTTGGTTTTCAGATCAACCCACAAAAATTGGGTTGCTGAATTTTTTATCTTTCTGGTGCAGACATTTCAGAACAAGAGACTCGCTCATGCTGTCAAAGAGAGTACTCTTGATGGTCTAATTACGGAACTGTTGCTTTGGCTTTTGGATGAAAGGGTTCCTCGGATGGATGATGGCTCTCAACTTTTGAGAGCTCTAAATGTTTTGATGCTCAAAATTCTGGTATATTTGTTTCCTAAAATGCATCTCTTGGTGTCTGTGCGCGCAAACGTGTGCTTAATTTTTGAGATACTAATTTTTTACCTTCTTGCCCAACTAATCCTGAGTTCAGGATAATGCCGACCGGACCTCATCATTTGTTGTGCTCATAAATCTTTTAAGTCCTGTTGACCCGTCAAGGTGGCCATCTCCAGCAGTGAATGAGTCCCTAACCTTGAGAAATCAGAAATTTTCAGATTTGGTAGTCAAATGTTTAATCAAACTTACTAAGGTGATTCTCTTTTCTTTTCCTTTCCTCGTGAAACTTGGTGGCTGCTGCCTTCTCTCGCACATTTCACATCTTTCATAAATGTGTTGCGTCTTTCTTTTGAAGTTAATATTACTAATACTTGCATGGGATAGGTTCTTCAAAATACTATATATGATGTTGATCTTGATCGTATCCTTCAAAGTATCCATATATACCTACAAGAATTAGGAATGGAAGAAATACGAAGGAGGTACCTCTCAAAACTTTAAAGATAAATGATAGGATTTTGTTCCTTGTTTAATGAGATACCTGTTGAGTTCTGTTCTGATTAATTTCACAATGTGTACTAACTAAATGTTTTAACTGCCCACTGCCAACAACTCTTGAATTAACAAAAGAGCGGGAGCTGATGACAAACCACTTCGCATGGTGAAAACTGTTCTGCACGAGCTTGTTAAGCTTCGTGGAACTGCCATAAAGGGTCATCTTTCCATGGTCCCTATAGACATGCAACCGCAGCCTATTATTCTTGCCTACATTGATCTTAATCTTCAGGTACTTGTGGCAAACTCTTGATAATACATTTGTTTCCCGACTCGTTTTTTCTCATCCTGATCATCTTCAAACAAAATTGAGCAGACCTTGGCAGCTGCAAGAATGTTGACCCCTTCTGGCCCTGCTGGACAAACTCACTGGGGTGATTCAGCAGCCAATGGTCCAGCACCTGCAACGCATTCTGCAGATGCCCAATTAAAGGTATTTATGCTTTCTTACGCTCTTTTATTTGAATGTTTGATTTGTCCTGTCTAATTTGGTTTCTTTTGTCCATGTCCTGTCCTTGTATTACCCTGCTTTCTCAAATAAATTTTGTGGTGATGTTTACAGCAAGAATTGGCTGCAATATTTAAAAAAATTGGTGACAAGCAAACTTGCACAATTGGTCTCTATGAACTCTATCGAATTACACAGTTATATCCTCAGGTAAGTTCCATATATAACATCCATCCACAATAAGATTGAACATGTTATTTCTTTTGAAATATTTTGGAGTGTATTTTAGGGCGTGTATATTTTATCAAATTTCATTGACTGAATCTGGTTTCAGGTTGATATATTTGCTCAGCTGCAAAATGCTAGCGAGGCATTTAGAACATACATTAGAGATGGTTTAGCACAGGTCTGGATCTAATTTTATCTTTGCGTAGTTAATGTTATGAAGGAAACAATTTCTCAATATTAATTATTAACTTCTATTGCAGATGGAGAAAAATGCAGCTGCAGGAAGGACCCCTTCGAGTGTACCTCTGTCGACTCCTCCACCAGTGGCACTCGACCTCTCTCCAAAATACGGCCCTGTATCACCTGTGAATACAAATGATTCAAGAAATCTGAATGCTAAAGTTGAACCTACAAACTTCAGTTTACCACCATCTTATGCCGAAGAAGATAGGGCTACCAATACCATCTCTGCAAGAGGTCCTTTGTCAGATCAATCTGGTTTACAGCAGAATTTGGGGGAACTAAGAAGTGACAGGTTATTATCTGGAGGTTAGTTAACCTTCAAATTGTTACTTGTTAGTGCATGGTTCTTATGCAGTATTAACCGAACTTAATAGTATAGTGGACAAGATTTTAACCGCTTTTTCTTCTTTCATGATGACCATTGCTATCCAATCCTCCCTAACAAGCATGCATTTCTTGTCTTTGTTGCTTGTGTTTCTTTGGGGAATATTTAACTGACAGATTCACTTCGTCTGCAGTTTCAAGCGGTACATTAGATGCTATTAGGGAAAGGATGAAGAGCATCCAATTAGCAGCAGCTACAGTGAACCCGGATACTAGAAGTAGGCCTTTGGTACCCATGAATGGGAATGTAACCCACGGACTTCCTGGTCATCCTTCTGTCACAGAAGGTGTTGGTACCGAGAATCCTATGCATGGTGGGGTCCTTCCCATGGACGAGAAGGCTCTATCTGGCCTTCAGGCTCGCATGGAAAGGTTAAAAACTGGGTCACTCGACCCTCTGTAGGATGGAGTCTGCGTCGGAGTATTATTCTTCATGCATCCTGGTAAATTATGCCGTATGATGCTAATCTTGTAATTTGGGAGATACAATCGGGCTTATGCATTTTGAGCATTCGTCCCTCCAGGTTATTTGCACGATCTTGCATATTTTTTTTGGCTGATAACAAATGCAGAACTTTGTTTCCTGTAATGTTGCTGCAGAGTTTGTGAGCTTAGTGATATAGGCGATGTGTGGTAGACTTTTATTATGTTCATCCAAATTTCTTGTATATTATAGTCACAACTTTGAGCTGTTTGGCGGTCGCCACGATTCAATCTCATGCAAAAGCTGGTAAATTTGTTAGTTCATAGTAAAAATTCCGAATTTTGCTAGTGTTTTTTTGCCCCCTCTCCCGACATGCTAATTTTATTGTCAAGTTGTATTTTTACCTGGCCATTTATATCCTTCTCATGTATTCGACTTTACAGTTACTTGATCAGATATTACTTAAAGCTCAGAGTGGGAATATCTTCCACTATGTAACATCCTCGTTAAAACCATGAGTTGTTATTTGTTTGGTGTACTTGAAATCATATTTTTGAGAGCTTATTGACAGAATACCCTGCCTTTTAGATCCATTGTGCAATCTCTCCTTAACTTTTCGAATTGATGGAAAACAGCCCCTGTATGAAACTTGAGGTGTGGAAGATAATCTTCAAGGTGCGTAAAACCTTGTATCATTTCTGAACCTTTAAAATTTTATTTTCATCGCCAATTTCAACCCCTCCCCTCCCTTCCCCTCAAAACTTCATTTTCTTCCCCACCCAAAACCAAAACCCAGAATTTCTTATTGGTAGCTCCATGGGAAATCCTTCCAACAATCAATCACCAACACGCATAGGCAAGTAATCTTTTGACGAGCCACAAATCACATGTTCGAGCCCAGAGACAAGATTATTGATTGTTGGTTAAGCACCCGCGCCCCCCAACCAAAAAAAAAACGTATATAATACAGATCCTCATAAATTCAGACATAATTTATAATTTAAGCACTTCGTTACATCAGTCCAAATTTATTATTTTTCGCTCTTTCATTGCCATTTTTCACACCTTTTAAAGAATTTGAGTACTAATTTTAATTTTTTTTGCCTAAAAATCAAAATTTTTGCAAAATAAAGTTTGCAGAAACCAAACTGAAGGCAGACCCAAAGCAGAGTAGGAACCAAATTGAAGCGAGTGGGTTGCCAGCGTGAGTGAGAAAAGGTCAGCGGTTGTAATGGCAAGTGAAGGGTCGATTTCTAATTGCAGCTATGGGTTTTAAAGGTTGTCTCTCTCACTTCAAGTTTCATATAGGGATGTTTTCCGTCAATTCCAAAAGGTGGGGGTATTGTGTCTATAAGCCTATTTTTGAGTATATTTTGAAAAAAGTTAATAAAATGTGTGGTTGAAACTAATTGTTGATTTTGACTCAAATTTTTAGCAGAATTTTAACTCAAACCAAACGAGGGTTAAACTTGTTGAATTGATCTACCGTGTCATTGTTGCTTAGTACTCTGTTTAATAGATCATTTCTCGTGTACAAATTTCTTACATATCGGCAATATTCTTTCGTCACATCTAGCCCCTGTTTGGCACCCATTAATTTCTCATTCTCATTCCCATTCTCATTCTCATTCTTCATTTCAACCACATATTTTTCAAATAAAATAATATTACACACAAATCAAAAACTTTTCATCACTTTTCCACCACACATTCTTACATCAATCACTATTCCAAAATTTCTATTCTCCTCAAAATTAGATTCAAACACACCTCTAGACTTCTCTATACAGCAGAGGAGGTCCCATTCCTCTCTCACATATCTTGGAAAATCCATCCATCCCCAATCCAAAACAATATTGGTTTGTTTGGTGACATCGACGTGAAAATGTGAAGGATAAAAAAAGTTAAAACCTTATTTGCTATACTATTTAAATTTGTTAGTATTACATATGAAAAATACAGTACATACTCATGGCAACTTGGATAAATTTACATAATTCTTGCATTAATACACACACACACACAAACAGAACGTGCAATATAGCCTGAAGCTGATAATAAAAGGACAGCTTCAAACAATATACTTACAAGTTACATATATGATACGACAGCGGACAGCCACATGTGGACATGGAAATTAATTATGGAGGTGTAAGCGACAAATGATATGTGTACTCTCGTGACATATTTGGCAGAGTGGATCGAATAATACTGAATAGCATTAATTAAAGAATTAAACGAATCCACGAGTACGGCATACCAAATACTCGTCTAAGATTAGAGTAATCATCTGCAAGATTGAACTTGATCGACTTCTTTAAGGTTTGATCTCTGTATCATCCCATGATATATTGATAAGATCAGCTGAAGTTAAATCGATATCATTCCAATTATTCCAGTAGTAATTTGAAACGTCTGTACTTGGACCTCCCCATGGAAATTCTATGACATTGCTGCTTATGCTTGGATTGACTGTTGTAATTGTTGATTCCTCCGCCGCGTCGAGGCAGTTTCCGGCGTAGTCATATGCGTTTCCGGCGGGGATTAATAAAGATGATGAATCAATGTCAAAAGTGCTGAAACTTGAGAATTGAAATTCTGGGTTTTGATTCTTTGGTGCTGATCCATTGTTTCCAGTGAAAGATTTCCCTGAAAAGCTGCTAATCTTATCGGCGGTACCAAAAGCACCAAAGGGGAGAATAGATGAGGTGGAGGGGTTGGTGGTGGGATTTGTGGTGGCTGCGCCGCTGGCTGTGGTGGTGGAACTTGCATTTGATGTTTTGAGCCGTTTGTTTTTCCGACCACCGCCGACAGGCACATTACGTAGAGTGCCACCTTTAGTCCAGTGCCTCTTACAAGCTTTACAGAAATGGCGAGGTTGAGATTTGTTGTAATTATTGTAATAACAGAACTTTGTGTTCGTTGAGTCACACCTTGGACACTTCAAAGGCTCTGATTGTTGGTGGCTCCGCCGTGTAGGTGGCGGCGGTTTTGGCAGCTCCGCCCCGTCTGATTGCACCAAACTTTGGGTCCAAGTACTTAAACCCATAACAGAATTCAAATTTAAAAAAAAAAAGAAAAGAAAAAAAAAGACTTAAGATTGATATATGAACAAGATATCGAAGGGATCAAACTAAGAAGTACGAGGAGGATTTAATTCTCTTATGAGAGAATGCAAAATGTTTTAATGTCGGAGATTATATCTATATCTATATATCTATCTGTAACAACGACAATCACTCAAGGTTGAATGGTCCAGACGGAGAGGGTGTCAATTATATAAAATAATTCTCTATAATTTTATATGAATGTATCTATAGTGCATGGAAGAATATTTAAGTGGAATTTTAAATAATTTGATTTATTGGGTGGGCTTATAATTTATTTATATATAACGCGTGGAAACCGACATGTGATTTGTGATAAAGAATTAAGAGGTTGTTGTTTGATAAAATTTTAGACGAAAGTTCTAACAGATTTTGATGATGGTATTCGATCGTGTGTTTAAAAGTTGATAGAAATTGCGAATCTGATTAAATGTTCAATTAAAATTATTTGTTGACTTTGAACCAATTTGTCGACGGGTGAGAGCCACTGCTGCTAATGATTATACAATTATTTTAAATTTTTTTTTATCATGAGTTTTGCACTTTAGCTTAAAAGTAAATACATAGATTGAAAATTTTACCTTGTGCGACGTGTAATATGTAGAGAAGAGAGGGAGTGGAGTACTAGGATCAATGGTCTGATTCGGATATTTGAGTACGCATATGTTTGGTCGGCGTAATGTCTGCTATTGATTGGAAATCCGAATAGAGTTAAAATAAAGGTGGTGTAAGTATAGATTGCTAATAATAATAAAAGAAGAATTTGATAGTTGATTATAGGGTAAATTACAGTTGTCAACACGTGATTCCTTGTGATTAAAGATTGTGATCATCCTATGGGCCAATCCGTGTCATATGACATATATTACATGTAATCACATGATGTTCAACTTGGTGTGTTCATTGGCTTAGTGAATGTTTGGGTTTGCTATTTTATTTATTTTTTCTTTTTTTTTAATCTACTCTAGGGAGAAGCCACATGTTGGTTTCTTTTGTAGAAGAAGTGAAGTAAAGATGCACAGCCAAACATGCTCGTTTG